CCAGAAGCCAAGCTGAACGAGATAGGGAGGCTGAATACACTGTTACAGATGAGCAACCATCTACCTCACAAAATGAAAATGTCAGCCAAGAAATTCCCTTCAGTTTGAGCCAAAGCCATATGAGGCAGTTTGAAGCAGCTCAACGACGTGATGAAAGCTTAAAACCCTTATGGGATGAAGTGGTCCCAGAAAACCACACACCCACAAGTGAAAATCCAGTTATGTTGAAAGTTGTGGAGAATAAATTGTACCGAGTTGTGAGGAGACAGAAAGGTCCCAAATTCTTTGAGGAAAGAACACAACTGGTAGTTCCACAAAAGTATAGGGCTAAAATCCTCAAGCTAGCCCATGATACCACATTCAGTGGACACCTAGGTATCAGGAAAACCAAAGATCGCATACAGTCAAGATTTTTTTGGCCTGGAATGGGAGGTGATGTGACAGCCTATTGTAAATCCTGTGAGACTTGTCAAATGGTGGGAAAAGCCAAAGACAAGACAAAAGGACTGTTACAATCCATTCCAGTTGTCACTGTTCCCTTTGACAAGGTCGGAGTAGACAACATTGGCCCTATGTCCCACAAGACGCTTGATGGACATAGATTCATCTTGACTGCCGTGGACTTTGCCACGCGATACCCAGAGGCAATTCCATTGAAGGAAACGGACGCCAAAACAGTGGCAGACGCGCTGCTCAATGTATTTGCACGCGTGGGTTTTCCCAGATCTATCATCACAGATCTTGGAGCCACCTTCATGTCCCAGATGATGCAAGAGCTGTTCCGGACCTGCAAGATCAAGCATCTTACTTCTACTCCATACCATCCTCAAACCAACGGCTTGACGGAAAGATTCAACGGTACCCTCAACCACATGCTGAAGGCGTACGTCCACAAGAACCCTAATGATTGGGACAAGAAACTACAACACTTCTTGTTTGCTTATCGGGAGGTTCCACAAGCCAGCACCAAGTTCAGCCCATTTGAACTGCTATATGGGAGAACACCAAGAGGACCTATGGACATTTTGAAGGAAGCATGGACAGGAGCAGAGGACATTCCGGAGAGTGATATCAACAGCTACATTGAGGACTTA